GCTGCCGGGTCTGCCCCGGGGGCTGCGCCTTCCCCGGGCAGCGGGGCCTTCAGAGACCACGGTTTTCTGTAGCCGCTAAAAAGAGAAAGAGAGAAAAAAAAGTTCTGCTTTAGGGATGGCGTCGAGTTTAACCGGGAAACTGCGCTTCTGACTTCCAGCAAGGCGGGCGAAAGGCTTCTCTTCCTCCGGCGCGGTCGGCGGCACCAGCCCGCTGCGGTGTGCTGCTGCCGCCTGGGACAGGCTGAAGCTTCTCCCTGTGAAGAGACCGGTGAAGTTACGCTTTACCGGCATTGCGCGATCTTCGCAAATTCTCCCGTCTGTTTCTGTAGCGAGTGTGAGCACGCCTGTTGCAGAACTGGTACAAAACACTTGGCGGTCTAGTGAAATGAGTGTTACTTTGGTAGAAGCTGTTGTCTCCCTTTTTTTTTTCTTTTTCCTTTATCCCAGCGGGTTGCAGATTAGCATGCGTTATTTAAAAAAAAAAAAAAAAGCAATAATCAAATGCCAAAAACTACACATACATCATTTTAGAAAGGCCCTCTGATGTCCCATAGTAACTAGGAGTAAATAAATTTAGTAAATGTTCTGTCAGTGACTTGCTTGGCTCTTCTCTTGGGACACTGAAGGAAAGCTGTCGATGAGATTTTTATTTACTAATAGAAGAATTGCATAACAGCCATATGAACCAGTGTGAAAGAGCATGTGAGTAGAACGATGCTTGGTATGAGCTCAGGGTTCTCTTGAGTTGAAGCCAAGCTCAGTGCAGCTAAGTTACTATGCAGTAGCAGACATCCATCCTTCCAATGTCTAGAAGTATTGGCCTTGTGCTATTCTCTTCCTCCAAGAGTTTATCTGCTAGCAAAGCAGTAAAATGCTACCTCCTCCCCTCTCCTTCCCTGAACCAGGAGATGGATAACATCAAGTGGAGAAGAGACTAGGCGGGAGGCGGTTGGTCTCATGAACCGATGTGAGCATTTCACAGGAGGATTCACTCGCCTCATTCCTTTTTTTCTTTTTGTATGTTCCCCCGTATGTTACTTTTCTTCCCCTGTCTGGTAAGAAGTTTGTGCCTCTTTTGAGGGATAAGCAGTGCCCGGAGAAACATGAAAGCTAAGTTCTTGTGTGACATGTTGGCAATTTCTAAATCCTGCTGTAACAATACCCTAATAGCATTCCTTTTGAGAGCTGATTGTGGGCTAGTGCTTTTTGCCCGGGGACAATGGTTGAAATAACTACAGAGAAAAAACAAGCAAAGCTAGAACAAATCAATTGAAAGCCTTGGTGCCTTGCTTATTAGCAGAGATGGTAGACCACTGAAAATCCCGACGTGGGAGCGGAGCTATCCGTAGCATCTTCTGGGGTTATGGATTTGAGTAACTGTCTCTCCTGCTGTGTACCTACTTCGTGCATGTCTGAGAAGCCTGTTGTCTTGCATGCGTTCCTTGAAGTTGCTGTCTAGGTGCCCACGATTGCACACAGGTCATAGCTGTGCATTTGAGGTCGCTTGGGGCTTGTTTTCAGAGTTGTCAGTCCTTCCTGCTCCTTACACTTTGAGCATCGTCTGATAATGCGCTTTTAGGGTATAGAAGAAGTAGCGCAAAAAGCTGTGGTTCAGGTGATAGATTAGAGCAGAGCTTATCGCTGTCAGACTGCCAGAGACAAACGCGACTGTGGTGGAGTGTGGAGGCGACTAAAGATCTCCACTGACACTTAAGACTAGCTACGTCCAGGTACTTGCCGAGGACTGCTGGAGTGGAAGTATACAGCAGTGAAAGAAAATATCCTTGCCGTGTGTTGGGGTCCAGAATGGGTGGCTGGTAACATCTGGAGGTGATGGTGGTAGTTGGCGTGCTGAACTTGAGACCACCTCTGGAGGAGAGAGCCTCCGGCCTGATGGTTAGTGTGTTTGCCTGGGAAGTGTTAGATCTTGACTCAAGTCCTTCCTCTGCAGGCAGATCTTGCATTTCAGATGAATGCTGTAGTAACTTATGTACATTTTCTAATGCTGCCATAGTCTCCTTTTGGTCTTGTGCCTACAAGCCATTTCTGGTGTTCAAAATACTGTAAAACAAGATGTGTGGGTTTTTTTCGTCTGAATCTGTGGGAGGAATCGGTACAGTGGAGAGCCAAGGAGACAAGTTTGTTCAGTCGTTACAACAGAAGAAGAATTTGTATGCTGGTCTGTTTATGACTCTTAACCTCAGTAGCTGAGGGTGATCCACTTCTTTACTCGTAATGGCGGAGAGGCAGGAAGCTGCTGTTGGCTGTTGTAGATGTCTGGATTCCCAAAGGCACTGGGACACCCTGAAATGTCTCTGGGGACTTTGACACGCCCGTGCTTTCTGAGGATCTTGTTTAGAAGGACTTGCATTAGACACCAGCATGATAACTCTGATGGAGACCTAGAGATTCATAGTGTCTTATACACTAGATCTTCTCCAATATTTGTACGGCACCTAGTGCTGCTGCTATTAAATGTAAGTTTAAACAACCTGAATAAAATCAGATAAAAAAAATCACTTCATTATCACTAAGATGTAAGTGGTGAGCTTGCTGATATTCTGCTACTTTATAGCATTGATAGTCTTACAGGATAGAAAATATCTGAACTCCTAGTATTCTTTCTAGAAGGGTGGAAGCACACCCGACTCTTTTTCTCCATTTTTGGGTAATGTTTAAAGAGGTACTGCATTTTCATCACTTAAAATATTTTTCCCACCCAAGAACTTCGAAGCTGAATAGGGGAGTTGTGTTACCAGTACAGTCTCTGAAGGTACTTCTAGACTATAGGAGTTTTGAGTAGGATGCCCTTCCAGGAGCTTTCAAAAGTAGGAGTGCAGAGTTTATGGGAGTGGGGCTTGACAAGTGTCTTAGGTAAATTAAATTGATGTTCCTGTCTTCCTGACTCCTGCCGTAGTAGGTGACTGTTCTGCCTTAAGCTATTTCAGCGTATTCATCCATAAAGTCATGGATACGTTTCCTCATAAATTTAACATTGCATCTGTACAGATTGTCATGTTTGCCGGTTCTGAAGAGTATGTAGTTGGATGGTTGATACAGAATATTAGGAAAGGAATACATGTAAACAGGTACTAGCTGTTGTTATCCATGTGGGTTTCTCATTTATGAACTGGCATTTTACAAGTGGGACTCTGCATCATTTTTCTCTATTTCTAGTTGTAGCTGGATGCTTCAATTCCAACCTAGCCCTGCTGGACTAAGCATTGAACATGGACAAGTCTTCAGGACTGCAATGTATCTTATGTATGATCAAACCAGAGAATATGGTCTCAAATTTGAGGGTCTTGCAAGGGGGGGAGGGGGCTTTTTGTTGCAGAGACAGGGAAATTGAAAGCAGAGAAAGACAGCGGTATGTCCCAGTTAATGCAGCAAGTCTTGTCTCTTTTACTGTGCTCTTCAGTGAGCTGGATATGTGTTGACAGACACTTCCAGACAAAAGAACTGGAGTAAGAACAGAGTAAAGTTGTATGTAATGAGTGAATGACAAATTTGCCTGGACTTCGCTTGAGCTAAGATTTTGCCTGGAGTGCTGTCTAATACGCCAAGTAAACAAATCAGAGCAATGTCACATTTTGATTTTTCTCTAATCTTTTCCTGTAATTCACTGTGTCTAAGGCCTCGTTGATGCAAGCTTTCTTCTAGCTGTCTAGAACTGGTTTTGAAAATGTTGTGTAACAAACTGCATATATCCCCACATCGACAGTCTTGCCTGGGTTTCTGTTGGTTGTGTAACATCCACAGAGGCCGGTAGTGCTTCAGCTGAGTCTATTAAAAATGAAATGTAACATTTGTGAATTCTGAAAATCGTAAGAAAGTGTAAGAGCAGAGGATTGATGCAAAGTATTCTGGAGGGAGGAGCGATAGCTGTAGATTTGTTAGTGATGCAGTATCAGTGAGGCTCTAACTTTGGGGCTCAAATGCTTAGATTTGTACAGTTCAGCACATCCTTGCCAATGATTTGTGAACAGATAGAGGGATTGTACTAAGTTACCCAAGGCCCTTGCTATCTCTGATGTCGGAATCTGTTTAGAGTGGGATTAACTGTGTATAAATCACTCCCACTCTTGTGTAGTACTTGGGCTTCTCAGTGCATTTTTCAGTGTGTTTTCATTAGTAAGTAATAGTAGACTAACCAAGCCAAGAATTATTTGTCTTTATAGGTGATATTAAGTTTAAAAAAATTCTGTTCCGTTTGACTTTCCATGTGATAGGAGGATGGGTTACTCAAGATGGAAAAACTGAGCTGTGCTGATAGAGTGGGGAAACGTTTCCATTGCTTTTGGTCACATCATACATGCTTCTCTGCTTTGGCCAGAGAAACAGAGAGAAGTATATGCTCAGCTGGGTGGAAATGAGAAGGTAGTTGGAGATGAAGTGTTCAGTGGATTTTTTTTTTTGGGACAGCATGGACTTGCTGCGTTTACATGTGAAGAGCCCAAGAGGCTGGGCAACGGCTGATGCCTCCAGGTGGTCCTGTGGCTTTGGCAGTGCAAAGGAGAAGCTTAGGTTTGGGCATGTGCTTGGTATGGGCTAATAGGTCAGGGGAGCTCAGGCATGCAAAGTGTTTCAGAAGCTAGGTGCTGAAGGCGGGCAGCAGAGGAGATGCTAGCAGTGTGGCTGGGGCTGGCTGCAGGGCTTGTGCTTCTGGGTCAGAGCAGAGCTTGTGATTTAGAGGGTGATCGTCCAGAGAATAAAAAATGGTATGGTGCTTTGCGACAAGAGACTTCTGGGGCCCTTTGTTTTCCCCTGTGAGCGTAGGTGTATGCACACAAAGGAGGTATAGGTGTATGGAGGCAACGGTATTCTTCCAGAATCACCCCCCCCCTTTTTTTTTTTTACTTTATGTTGCCAGATCTTGCATGGAGTCTCTAGTTCTTTTCTATAACCTGACAAGGTGAAAAAAAAATTTGAAGTGTTTTTGGGAGAGGAAGGGGATGTCGGTTGACAACCTGAACTGTGCTTTCCTGCAGAAGAGTGCTGTCTGAGGTGGAGACTTCTCAGGGTGTTCTGAAAGAGGTGCAAGATTTTTGACACCTAAATAAATTGAATTCAGCACTTACCAGGGTAAATGTCATTGTCATGAACAGTCTGCATAGTGTATGGTTTTACTGCAGGCTTGTAGTTTTACTTAGTAAAGCTGTTTTACTGTTGCATCACTGAATGTTTGGCCATTCAAGGAGTTAATTGTAACATTGTCTGAGGCCTTGCTCTGTTTTTTAAGCAATCTAATGAAAGGAAAAAAAAATAGGACAGTATTGTTGTTTACTGTGGCTTGCATGAATCTCACTGTAAATTAGTGGGGAAGATTATCCTAATTTGTCTCATACATTTAAACCT